TTGGAAGAACCACCATTCATTGATTGTTGAGGCTTTTTGTCTCTCTTGTTCTTCATATCCGCGTTGTAGCGGATCCCGTCAACAGACTCCATAGCCTTTGCGAATTGTTTCGCAAGGCGTTGACGTTGCCTTTGGCGGGCTCTCTTCGAGAGAGTCACCACGCCCCCTGCGGCAGAAGGGTTGGCCAGAGCAGATCTTGGTCAGAGCAGATCTGCCTTGGTTGTGAATTGGAGGAATCTCACCCGATGCGACTTTGGCATCAAACGGGGCGAGATCTTCGTTGGTGTTTTCAACGTCTTCATACCAACGAGTTTTTCTCCTGGAGGAGAACTTGGACTTCTTGGACCTGTGGGGGGAGGTTGATCCAGACGAGGGCGACAAGTATTCCTCGAACTTCTGTTGGTCGAACTCGTATTCGACCTCCTCCATGACCGGGATTGAGATCCGCGGCTGTGACGCTCCGATCTCGGCAGCGAGATCGGCGGCTCCCACTGTGGTCGCCATATTGTTCGCGGTGAAAATCGTTGCTTTCTTCATCATTGATTCCATTGCAAATTCTTGTAATAGTTTATCGATCTTTTTATAAGATCCGGTTACAATGAAAATCAAAGAAAAATAAAGAAAAATTACAACTTTTTATCCTTGTTTGTCGAACAAATCGCGAGCTCCTGTTTTGCGGTCACTCGCTTTGTGGGTTCTTCGCTTGCGTCGGGGTTTATCCGTGGACCACCGCACGATCTAGATCCGGTCGGATCTACGCAGTACAACGGGTATTATTTCCCCAAGGAAATAATAGCCGAGGGGGGATTGGTTCACCAAGAAAACAATCGCCCAAATCTCGGGATCAAAGGCCAAGCTTTGATCCGAAGTGTGCCTGCGTAGATCTGAGATCCGGTTCTCTCGAACTCTTGCCTTATTTGGCGTTGACGATCGCCGAGCACCAGATCTGGATGAGCAAGTCCTCGAAGTCCTAAAGTTTGAATCTTTTTTAGATCTGAGTCTTCAATCCAGCAGGGCTTCGCCTCCAAAAAATCCAACCTTTTAACAAATGAACCAAGCCTCCTATTTATAGGCCACCTTTACTGTGCCCGCGCACAAATGGCCGACACACCGAGCCACCCTGAGGTGGCTCGGTTTTGGCCGAGCCCCCCCTTAGGCGTGGTTTTCTGTCGTTTTCGGTTTTCGGTTTGATCCGGTTCTGTGGTTGATTTATGAGTATTCGAGTCCGAAACAAGACCGATCTTGATAATCCAACACGGGTCGTGATTCAATCCGAGTACGCTCTTGTTTGGATGACTCGTTTGATTCTTCGAACCCTTGGCTTGATTTCCACACCGTGAACAAATGGATGTATTCCGACTTGCTTGCGTGCGATTACGCTCAACCTCGTCGGCCTCTTGGAAGCAATTCGTCAGGTTCTGTGCCGAGCTATGCTAAGTGACCTATAACAATTTTATACGCCTACAAACCCAGTGAATAATCATTAATATATCTTAAATAAATACAAAAAATTTTTAATTGTGGAACCCACTGAAGATATGCCAATATATGAGGCCAAAGGTGTGCCGTGGCAGCCGGTTTTCAGGCTCAGTGACCTGGCTGCCAGGTTCAAAGCCGGGCTGGGCCTGACCCAAACCTGATCGGGTCAAAGTAGGCCAGACCTACTTCTCTGATCCTAGATACGTCCGGCCAATGATCTGCCTAGGTGGGTCTGACCTGGTCCACAGCCCGTGAGTCATAGGCCGGCCCATGGATTTTTTGTTCATCTTTTTCCCCTTATTTTTCCATTTTAAATATATTAAACTTGTATTATAATTATAAAATTATTTCTAATTTATTTTTTAGTAATTTAAACTTATATTAAACTATTTTAAACTTGTATTAATTTTTTTAATGCTTTCAAGTAGACAACAACGAGCTTAAAAATGTTTTCTTTCTCAATGGGCCAAAAGAACCACGAGCCAAAGACCTATGGTCTTTTGGCTTTATTGGCAACTAGTTGCAGACCCAATGGGCTAAAGGAAGAGCTAACCTAACTAAAATATATATCATGTGCCGGGGGTGGGTAGGACAACCCGGATCAGGAAACCAACGTGGGTCGGGCCTACTTCTCTGACCCCCAATATGAGGCTGGACTCTGCTCGGCTCATGACCAAGGTATATCAAGAGCCGAGTCGGGCCCGACCCACTACAGGCCAGGTCAGGGGTCATGACCCATAGCGGACTGGGCCGAATCAGCCTGCAGGTCGACCAGACCCGTGGCCAATCCTATATGAGCTCATCTAACTAATTGTAGGTGTTCTCCACCATCAATATTGTAGAGAATTCGGACCCATGTTTGCGTGGTTCATGCGCTAAAAAATATTCATCCATGGATTCCCGCGAGAAAAGAAGCCCTTTTATTAGTCCATAAAGACGATATGACATTGGTAATCATGAGATGTTACAGGGCAGATTTACTTTGACCAAAATGATGTCATCTCACACCATTTACTTTGGTCAAGGAGGACTAGCTACGAACCCAACCCACTTCAAACACACCAATTTAAACAGTCCATCCCACTAAAAACTCGTAAACTAGGGGGCCCACCCCCTTTGTTCCTCTCACGCGAGTTGGGGCTCGCGGTTGGTCCGCGAGCTAAAAAGTTTTTTCGTAAAAAACTAGGTGACACATCTAGTAAACCTATAGAACACACCAAATTTCCGTAGAAGATGGATTCCAAGAATGAATTTGACACTTACGAACATTGTTGATGCGCATAGAAATGCAATATTTGCTAATTTACAACGGGTAGGCAATCTTTCAAAGAAAATAATGGAGATTCAAAAGCATAACATCCCTTCTTTGCTATATTTGCTTTTGAATATGACATTGTTACACATAGGTACGACAATTATAAATAACTTTTTCTACAATGAAGTTAATAAAGAGCAAATTGCAGAATAAAAGGACCGATGATTAGTTGAATACATGTTTGTTAGAAAAATATATTGAGAAAGATGTATTTAAACAGTTTTACTGATTTTTCTATCATACACTTTTTTTGCCTTCAAAATATAAAAACTCGTGGGTGACAATTATAATTTTTTTTATTCATTATTAATTACGAGTGAAACCACTTTTCAAAAATTCTGCATCCGCCAATGAAATGCAGTAACATGTACTTAAGAGTATGGACAACTATGGCTTAAAATTAAAGTTCAACCATATTATTACTTTTTAATCTAATTAGGATACATGGGACTTCGTGATATTATCAAAATAACTACACAAGAGATAAATAAACCACGCTTCATGGAGAAAATGAGGTAACACGAAGGAAACCATAAAATTTCTCTTTCATTATTGCCTTATATTTAAGCGAGAAATTTATATTTGGGGATAATATATAGGGTACAGGTTAAGTGAAATAACAAGATTTGTATCTAGATATCTAAATATATATTGATCATACATTTGAAATTGAAATTATCATTTCTTTAACTATATTTAATTGGGGCAAATAAGTAACTATATATAAGTGTTCCTCCAACAACTTAATTAGTATGACACTTAAGTAAGTGTTCCTCCGATCGAATATAGATAGATATTTTACTTATATAATAGTTGCTTTTTTGTCTTTTTCATCCTCCGATATATATATCTACTCTGATTATCAATAAGTGATCTGTATAGTATCAATGTTATATACTATGGAACTGTATAGTTATTAAGTATATATATTATAATTATAATAACTATATATGAATTATTAATATATATACTCTATATTATATATATATATATAATTAATAATAGTATCTAGTTGATAAGTATTTACGTCTTATATATATACGTTATAATATAGTTTATTATATATATATAGTAATAATATATATATTTACTTGGTATATGAATATATAATAAGTTATTTATGAGTTGTATATAGTTTTAATATATAAGTTAAATTTTAGTAGTGCTATTAATATATTATAGTATCAGTACCTATATGTATTTTATATAGGTACTTATAATATAGGAGTATATACTATATATACTATTATATATTATATATAAGCAATAACTTCTTTGACAACTAAGTGATCGTCCACAAAGTTTCTTATCCATTGATGATTACTTGATGAGCTAACCAGTTGTAGATTCTGCTTACCGTAAACCTTGATCTACCAATTTCTGATGCTTATATATCGCTGCCATACACCCATTTATGTTTTTTTTCGATGGTGGATTGTTTATGCTGGTGTCCAAATTGGTAACTCGAATCTGTGGTTTGACCCTGGGCCGTCGAGCCCAGTAGTAAAAAGTTCTATTCACTCGACAGCCGTTAAAATTGATACGAGTGGATAAGGTCAAAACTACGATCGGCTTCACCCAAATTTGTGTGTTGCGGCGTTTTTAGAATATCGTAGCATCAAGTTTGAACGAACCGGTATCATCTACAGTGTATCTGCAATCAAAGTGATAATCAAATTGGATATATCAATTACTTAGTGGTAGCGTCCGAGCGTTAATTACAGAAGTTTGCTCTATCATTATATATAACTTATATATAATATATAGATAGTAGTCTTCATTGCAATGGACTTTTATCTTTTGTGCCCGCTAGGCATTTGCACTCACTCTCGGTTTTCTTTCCTAAACAAAATGTACTAATTCCTATTCTAAAAAATAAATAAATAATTACATACCTTAAGAATGTGCACTTCTCCAATTTAATGCTTTTCGTTTACAACCTGACGTGGAAATTATTTTAGTATAAATTATTTGTCACATTCCATATTTTGAGAAATCTATTCATGATAAATATTATTCGGGGACCAAAAGCGTGCAAATCTAATTATCCACCGTTCATTTATTAGACACATATCATCCCTTCTCTTCCTACAAACGTGATCAACCCCGGAGTAAAACACGGAGAGAAAACCTCTCCAATCCCTTCTTCCTTAATGCTATATATAAATGCTCTCCACCAACATCTCTATATAAACTTACACACAAATCAAATCACTAAAAAAAAATTGCAATTCAAAACCAGCAAGCAAAAAAGAAAAAAAAAAGAAAAAAGAAAAATGAAGACCTCCACCTTCCTCTTCTCCTTCCTCCTCATCCTCATCCTCGCCAACGCTAGCATCGACGACACATGCAAGCAAGTCGCCGACCCAAAACACTACGACTTCTGCATCTCAACCCTCAAATCAAACTCTAACGCTAAAACAGACGACAAGCGAGCCCTAGCCTCTGTCGTCACCGACCTCACCATTGAGGCCTACAAAAAAACCCAATCAAGAATCGAGGAGCTCAAGAAGAACGAAGCCTACAATAACGACCAGCAACTGGCGCTTTCCCTGTGCGAGGACCTGTACAAGACCTCGATACCGAAGCTGGAACAGGCTAAGCCTAAGCTGCAGAAGGCGATACCGAGGTACAGTAAGGGGGGTGTTGCGGGGACCACTAAATCTTTGACGACGGGAATGGATCATGTTTCGATGTGCATTGATGCGTGTAATAAGTCTGGGGCTGCTTCGTTGCTTGAGAAGGAGAATCAGGAGTGCTTGAATTTGGTTATACTCGCTTCCAATCTAATAGAGAGAGCAACTCGAGGTTGATGATGCTCATACGTGTTGGATATTTGACTGCCGTTAAGGTTATCGATGTTGTGTTTGTTTTGAGATGCAAAAGCTTAAAAAAAATTTGTTTTTGTGATTTTTTTTAATGAATAATTAATGTGGTGTAATTCAGTTTGGCCGGCGCCGCTTAAATTGTGAAGTTATACGGGTGCTTCTCAATGTTGCTAACAAGGGGAACCTTGTTTAGGGGGGGCTACCATCAGAGTGGCAATCCGGACGGCCTAATCAAGAAATTTCTGGGCGTTGAGTCTCATCTTTAAACCCACAAATTAAACACTAGATAAATATGTTGTGTGCCGTGAGGAAGCGTGCTCGACAACCAAACGAGTTGGTGAGCGATGACAGAAGAGAACCAAATCAAATCACGAGTGCAATTCACCAAAATACGACACAAATCAAACCAAACACAGGAACTTACGTGGTTCGGAAATTGCTTACGTCCACGGGGAGATGATAAGGAGATTTCACTATATTGAGGAGAAATACAACGGGTTACAACTCACAAAATCACTCAAATATAACCTAACCAAAGCTCAACTCACAAAATCACTCAAATATAACCTAACCAAAGCTCTCAGCTCCCTCACAATATCTCCCTCTCAAAGTGCTCAAAAAACTGCTGATTCTCTCCTTAAGAAACCCGACAACCAAATGAGCCGGTGAGCGATGAGAGAAGAGAACCAAATCAAATCATGAGTGTAATTCACCAAAATACAACACAAATCAAACCAAACACATGAATTTACGTGGTTCGGCAATTGCCTACGTCCACGGGGAGAGGATAGGGAGATTTAACTACATGAAAGAGAAATACAACGGGTTACAACTCATAAAATCACTCAAATATAACCATAACCAAAGCTCTCAACTCCCTCACAATATCTCCCTCTCAAAGTGCTCAAAAGACGTGTTTGTATTTATATCAAACACCAATCCAAAACTAACTGGGAAAACTGAAACTAGCCCATAACTGCATCGCAGTCGATCGATCATAGCCATGCGGTCGACCGCCAGAAGCACAATCTCTTACCTTGTAATCATGCACTTTTTCGGTCGACCCCATCTTTGCCTTCATCGACCGATCCGAGAATTCATGTATCCTATTTTAATGACGATTGCGTCGGTCGACCGCCCTTGCACCCTCGGTCGACCGGCCCGAGGGTTACTGTAGCTATTATTTCAACTCGAATTTTCTGATTTTCGCCTGCGTTTTCTATAATTCTCCACCTCGACGAAGTTTTCCTAAAACTGAACCGACACCAACATGAACACCACTACGTCGTCTCGCAAAATCCGACTGTATTAATGTGGTTGCCTACGTACGCCCTCTCCCAATGGATCAAGCTACACGTAGTTTATCCAAATGGCCGCGAACAACCTCAACAATCATGAATTTACAGTAAGTTTTTATAATGATCAAACTTGTTGCTCGGAACCACATTTGTGAGCATTATCTGCTGGATTATCTTTTGTGTGAACCTTCACGAGCTCCACATCTCCATATTCAAGAACATCTCAAACGAAGTGATAACGAACGTCGATATGCTTCATCCTCGTATAAAAGACCTAATTTTCACCAAATACATGGCACTCATGCTATCACAATAAATGATGACGAATCGCTATGAAACATCAAGATTCTCCAAAAGTCCTCGAAACCAAATTACCTCCTTAACAGCCTTCGTAATCGCCATATACTCTGTCTCCGTCATCGACAAATCCACCGTAGACTGCAACGTGCATCTCCAACACATCGACGCATGGGTCAAAGTGAACACATACCCAATCATCGACCGGCGTTTATCCAAATCTTCAGCGTAGTCTGAATCTACGTATCCAATACGTAGCTGCCCACCACTAGTGTCCCATTCTAAAACCAAACCAACGTTAAGAGTACCTCGAATGTACCTTAAAATCCATCTCACGGCATCCCAATGACCCGGACCTGGGTCGTGCATGTATCTAGAAACCATGCTCACTGCCTGTGACAAATCCGACCTCGTACAAACCATAGCGTACATTAAACTCCCAACTTCGCTCACATATGGAGTCTTTGACATCAACTCTCAATATTCAACTGTCTTCGGTAAAAGGTCATTCGAAAGCTTCAAATGGGCTCCTAATGGTACACTAACTAGATTTGTTTCCATGCTCACATTGAACTACTGTAAAACCTTCTTTAAATAAGCCACATGTGTCAAACAAATTCTGTCATTATCTCTGACTCTGCCGATCTCTATTCCTAAAATTCTCTAAGCTTCACCCAAATCCTTCATCTCGAACTCGCTTGAAAGTTGAATCTTCAATCTATCTATCGAGGATCTGGAAGTAGAAGCAACCAACATGTCATCAACATAAAATAATAAGTAAATGTACGCACCTTCATTCAACTTACGATGGTATACGCAAGGATCAAACTAGCTTCTAATATACGAATGACCGATGATGAACCCATCGAATCGATTATACCATTGTCGAGGAGATTGTTTCAGCCTATACAACGATTTCTTCAACCTACAAACCAACTTTTCCTTCCCTGTAGCTCGGAATCCTAATGACTGAGTCATATATATTTCTTCATCAATATCACCATGAAGAAATGCCATCTTCACATACAACTGATCTAACTCCAATCCATACTGTACCACCAAAGCTAGCAAAATCCGAATCGAAGAATGATTCACCACCGGAGAGAAAACCTCATTATAATCAATACCTTCCTCTTGTGCATAGCCCTTCGCAACCAACCTAGCCTTGAACCTCACGAGAGTGCCTTCAATACCCTCCTTCTTTGTATACACCCACTTGCAACCAATAGTCTTCTGTCCCTTTAGAAGCTCGACAAGCTCCCATGTGTTGTTCCTATGAAGAGACTCTATCTCCTCCTGCATAGCCACCTGCCATAAATCAGCCTTCGAACTCTGCTCGGCCACTCTGAATATAGTAGGAACCATCTCATCAACACTCTCCACCGAAAGTGCATACGTAACAACTGTGTATGCATACCTAGCTGGCATCCGTATGTCTCTTCTCTGTCTCCGAACCGTAATAGAATCCTGAGCCTGAGCCATCGGTCCCTGATCCTACTCAATTATATCTGTATCCTCCAAATCATCACCGTGCTCACCTGGCGTCACCCTAGTCGGCACTCTAATGGATACGGTCTCATCTGGATAATATGGAGTTGCATCAATCTCTACCACCTGCGATGTCTCTAATGTCAGGTCACTTTCCACTTGATGGGAGCTAGGAAGCTTCAAGATAAAAGCCTCTTCGAATGTGACGTCTCTACTCAGCATAATCTTTTTATCAACTGGATCTCAAAGCTTGTATCCCTTGACACCACGCTTGAATCCCACAAATATGACCTTCCTAGCTCGAGGTTCCAATTTATCTGTTTTCACATGATAAAATACAAGTCACCCAAATACCTTAAGCGAATCATAGTCGTGTGCTTGCTCTCCTGACCACATCTCTATATGGTTTTTTTCCCTAATCGCAGAAGAAGGTAGCCTATTAATAAGGTGGCTCGCATAAGAAAGTGCATCATACCAAAAGATCTTCTCTAAACCACTTTGCGGCAATAAACATCAGACCTTCTCTAGCAAAGACCGATTCAACCATTCTGCCACCTCATTCTGTTGCGGTGTATGACTAACTGTATGGTGCATCTCTATGCCCTCGTCTCGACATAGTTGCTAAAATAGGTCTGAAGTATATTCACCGCTGTTGTCGAATCGTAACGTCTTGATCTTTCTCCCTGTCTACAGTTCTAATCTTTCCTTTCACTCCACAAATATCTCTAGGACTTTACTGTTCTTTGTCATGGTGTGCATCCAACAATGCCTAGAATAGTCATCCATAAACGTGACGAACCAATGTCGACTACCAAGTGATGCCGTCTTGGTAGGATCCTAAACATCTGTGTGCACGTAGTCTAAGATGCTTCTAGTCTATGGATGGTTATCCCGAACTTCATCTTTGTTTTCTTGCCTAGAACATAGCGCTCATAGAATTCAACTTTTCCACTCTTGGCTTCCTTCAATAGCCCCTGTTTGCACAAAGCCTGCAGTGACTTTTCACATGTGTGCCCTAACCTATAGTGCCAAAGCCTGCTCACGTCGGCCTCTGAAATAGCTGAAGTTACCTAGCCAATCTCGGTGCTCCCCTTCAGATAATATAAATTCCTACTACAGACTCTCTTCATCACTGTCAAAGATCCCTTAGTAACCTTCGCTATAGTATTATCAAAGATCACCTTGAATCCCTTTGCCTCCAAAGATCCAACTGAAATAAGATTCTTTTTCAACTGTGGAGCAAATCTCACTTCATTCAATTCATGAACAATTCTATTGTGCATCTGAATCCTGACGATATCTATCCCACAAATGCTACAGGATTGATCATTTCTCATGACTACCATGCCCCCATCGAGTTTCTCGAACGATGCAAACCAGTCTCGTTGGGGAGTAACATGATAAGTAGCACTAGAATTAAGTATCCAATCAGATGCATCCACATGGTTTACCTCTGGAGTAGTCAATAGAGAAAACCACAAATCATCATAATTATCACCCCTCACGATGTTCACCTCATTGGCCTTCGGCCCCTTCTTTTTGCTATTCTCATTCTCCTTGAGCTTCGGACAATCTCTCTTCTAATGTCCTTGTTCCTTGCAGAATGCATACTGGTTCTTCGCTAACTGGTGGTGGCCCCTTGACTTTGACCTGTTCCTATTACTATCTCTCGGATATGGATTTCTACCTCTCGTCGACAAGGCCTCTCCTGAAGTGCTAGCACGTGAAGTCTCTTTGTCCTTCCTCCTCAAATTATAGTTTGTTAATGCGTAAGTCACTTCACTGTAGGTGATGGAAGATCTCTCGTTCAACAAAGTGAGCAAGAAGGTATCATACTCCTTATCCGGTAAGGAGCCTAATAAAATAATCGTCTTGTACTTGTCCGTTAAGTTCTCATCCACATTCGCCAAATCCGACAATAACTTTGTGTAGTTATTCACATGAGCTGCAAGCCAGGTGCCCCTGGACATATGGAATCTGAATAATCTCCGTAGCAAGTGCAAACGATTCTCAACACTCTTCGTAAGGTACTTATTG